AAATGAGGAATCCATTGGACCCTCTTACCCACACATAACATCTCAGTGGGGCAGGGGGACCTACTGTGGATGAAGTCACAGTGGAAAAGCAAACAGCTGAGATCTCCCTCGCGAAGTAATACTTAACGGTGATGCCGCGAGGGAAAGAACGGTCGACGAATTCCCGGGGTCAAGTGGTTTAGTGGATGAGAGCCCTACACAGGGTGTGGCAGTTTATTGCCCACTATCGTGCGGTTAGGTATATTTGCCCTAAGACCTCGGAAAAAACACACACCCACACATACATACTGGTTCCTAAAAAGTATCGGAAAAGTTTCTAGGGGTCATGAAACGTCGATAGATATTATCGGAAGGAATAATTTTCTGTCAAAAAAATTCAACTAGGTCACGTATTTTTTGAGATATCAAGGAAAACTGATTTCTGAGAAATTGTTATATCTCGAAAACTACTGGGCCGATTAGGCTGCACTTGCGCCCACAAATGCTCCAAAGTATTTCCAATTATCCGACAGAAATTTCAGATTTTTAGCTCAAGCTTTAGTCTCTTTTTCGGGGGGATTTATAAAAAATTTCTGAAAAATCGGCATACACTGTCCGACATACACACATACATTTTCTAAAAACATCATATTTTTACGTTTAATGACATTCTACATGATTTCCAAGCGAAATTAAGAGATCGTAAAAATCATCGATTACATGACTTCCATTCGGAAGCAAAAAAATTAGATATCCATAATTTCACTTGAAAAATACTTCCCGATGACTCAATACAACCATACTTTCATTCAATTTTTGGAATAGTTTCACCATATCACTTCACATTCTGTCTCTGCGACAGATACCGACATTCTCCAGGGTGTTTAGAAAGAGATATTTAACCTGTTGGTAAAATGAACTTTCATAAAAAAAAATGAATTTCTCGAAAACCACCCGACCGATTGCACCCATCCAGAGTTTAATCCTTTAATGTCATGAAAGCTATAATCATACCAAATTTCAACTTGCTATCCCTATTTTTTATCAAATTATTGAGTATACAAGACTGAAAATATGAAAAAAAAACTGAAAAATGGTAATATCTCTCGATTTTTGTACGAACGGGGATCCATATTTTGATTGATCTAGATAGTGCCCACTGAGATGAGTATTTTGAAAAAAAAATTGAAATCCGTCAAATAGTTCATGAGATATTTAAGGAAATACATCTACACAAAACGTTGAATATCTCAGGAATCACTTGGCCGATTGCGCCCACCCACAATACGAACCTTTGATGTTATGAGAGCTATAAGTGCACAAAATTTCAACTCGCTATCGCTATTTTTTATTGACTTATCGTGTGAACAAAATTTTTGACGCTAGAACAGAAAAAAGGCGATATCGTAAAATTTCATCCGAACCAATGTAGATATTTTGATTGATCTATACCGGGCCTATCAAGACGAGTATTTTGGAAAAAAAAATTGAAATCCATCCAGTAGATTTTGAGATATTGAGAAAAAACGAAATTTAAAGAAGTTATATCTCAGGAACTACTGGGCCGATCGAGCTGAAATGGCGCACCAAAGTGAAGCTTAATCACAGTTACAGTCAATATTTCAGATTTTTATCGACAAATTTCACCGTATTTATGTTGAATTGTCTAAAAATTAATTGTGACGTATTGGGATCCATCAATACGTCGATTTAGTTAGTAATTATATAAAATAATAATATAATGCTGGATGGTGGGAACGAGAAATATGATTTCTCTTTCCTGTCATCCAGACACTGGTCAGCAATCCCACGGTGTCATTTGGACACCGTGGTAAGGAGTCCCACGGTTTTTCAGGAGTCCAGTGCAGAACGATGAACTGTTTGACTGTTTGAGTCTCTGTCAATGATGACACGACAGTGTTAGTGGAGAGAACCGTGAGACTGCTTAGCTCAGCGAATTGCGGCTTTGCCAAGTTTTGAGGACTCTGGAAGCACCAGAGTACGATCGGGAGCGAAGTGGAGCGGATCTCCAAGCTCATAAGTCTAAGTCCGATCTCTTAACAATGCGTAACCGAACCCAAGTCGAAACCCTGTCGTGTATTTTAGTCAATAACTATGAATAATACATCTATAGCTGTTACCAGATAAATACACCGGTGTTTACAATTGCATACGTCCCCAATCCTTCATAACCATCCCCGAGTGAGCGAACCCCCCGTGAGCTTTTACCTCCGGGTAAAACTCATAATGTCACATAATTATCAAAATGTCGAATTTTCCAGCACATACATACAGAAATGACCTAAAAACATCGTTTTTTCACGTTTCATAACATTCTAGACAATTTGCAATTAAAAATAGAGAATCGAAAGATCGGTCAAATACAAGGCTTCCATTCGGAAGCAAAAACATGCACAAACAAAATTTATAGAAAAACTCTTTATTTATAGATTCTGTCGGAAAATTCCGCAGCTTCTTTTGTGCTCTGTAAATGGGAAAAATCCAATAGAATATAGATGAAACTATGAAAATTCAATAGATAAAAACTAGGGGAAAAAATTGAATGGACGTTTGCGAATGGCCCTGAAACTCCGGGGAGATTTAGGTGGTATGTTTAGGCTTTGCTATAAGTTCTCCAAGTTTTGTTGAGAGCAACTACTGTGAGTCGTGGGCTATTGAAAATAAGTTCTTGAAGAGGCAGGTTTTCTCTTTTGTCAATATTTATTTTTGACTTGACCGAGGCTCTTGCTACTGACGCCTCATAAGCAACTAGGACAGGTTTAAGTGTTACATTTGATATAAAGCTGAAACTAAATAAATGATAATTTCCGGAGTTCTAGATTGTTATTAATATTGATCTGGAGGCTGAATCGCCCGAATGATCTATTTGGCTTCCGAATAAAAGCTTTGTAATGGCTCTCAATAGTCAATTTTTCGAAAATCCAGTACCCAAGTGACTAAAATAATTTTGAAACAACCTTTTTTATAAGATTATAAGCCTTAAGGTACTTCCTCAGTCAGTTATACCTGGTGAAAATTTCGCAATGTAAGAAAGACACGTATTGAATAGTATTGAATAGTGAACAAAAAAAAAAAGCCAAAAGAAATCATGTCTTCGAACTGGGCTGTCAGAGAAATTTGAGAAAGTTTTTTAACCCCATCCGCTCTCAATTGTAGAAAAGAATCGCTATCAATTTTCAAGAGGGACAGGGGTTAACTCACTTGGCGTGGAATTATTAAATACTTTTAATAAAAAATATTTTTTCATCATGTATAACGTGAAAATTATTCTGAAAATATTTCCAAATCATTCCTTAAATTCTTTTTCAAGTCAAAACACAAAGAATGCCAAAATCAATTCCTTTTTTAGCAAATAAATACTATACATAAACCACTATCAAAATCATGCACGCTCATTTCCTAGTAAGTGAAAATTTCACTGAAATCTAGGTTTTCTGATTTGATTTGATTGTTACGGGAAACCAGAACGTTTTTTCTCTCGTACTAATTCGTATGAGAAGAGTACAATCCACTAAAGACCCTCGCGCGCCCAAATATTTCCCGCGTTTTTTCATCACGTCTTTCATCAGTCGATAAACTCATCCGGTAAATTATTTTTCAAGTTAGGTGCTGAACATACAAACGCTGTCGGTAATACTCCCCGACAGCCAGGAAACTGCTTTATCGTCCTATTTTCCCTAAATACATCGCTTACGTCTATATGAATACAATTTTATTTCATGAGACTTCGAAGGTATAACCAACTAAGAGGGCGCCACCTTCAACAAGTGGAATTCCGTTATTTCTCACAATTTATTATTCCATTACTGAATACAATATTTTCTTGCTTTTCAACTTTATTAGCGAATAATTTATTTAGTCGTAATGTATATCGTATTATTATTTATTTGAATGTATCCACATTCGTTTCATTGGGTCCAGCGTTTAGTAAAACTCGAGAGAAGTTTCGGCGAGCCGTGTACACGTCTATGGGCTCGATATGAGGGGGATTTCGGAAAAAGTACACTATGTTCAACGCCATCTATTGGATCACTTATGAACTAAAATCCGATTGATAATAATTTACCAACTGAGTATTAGGATAAGTTATCGACTAAATCCTCTAGAAATTTCCAGTGTAGAAATTTCTACATTCAAAAATCCCTATATAAAGGGGACCCATGCGATTCAGCGGCAGTCTTAAATCGGGAGTGGAATCGTGAATACCGCAAGAAGTGAATAGTTGGAATATTTCAGTGAGTTTTCTTCTTCAAATAAGTAATGTGTAGTTTTCAATGATTTCATTTAACTACTAATTAATCTAGTATCAGCCAATTAAGGAACAATACAAAGAATCTCTAGTAAATTCAACTTTACAAAACTCGAGAGAATTCAAGGGTTTTCCACAAATCTTCGTGGAATTCAGGAAGTTTCTAGCAATTTCTAGGGAATTCAAGGATTTTCTAGAAATTTCTAAAAAATTCAAGGAATTTCTAGAAAATTCGAGAGAATTCAGGGACTTTCTAGAAAATTCGAGAGAAGTCGAGCACTTTCTAGAAACTTCGAGAGAATTCCAGGAGTTTCTAGAAATTTCGAGCTAATTCTAAAATTTCCAGAAAATTCAAGAAAATTCAAGGAGTTTCCAAAAGTTTCGAGGAAATTCAAGTAATTTCCACAAATTTCGAGGGAATTCGAGAACGTTCTAGAAATTTCGTGGAAAATTAAGGACTTCCTTAAAATTTCGAGGAAATTCAAGGAGTTTTTTTTTATTTGTAAAATTTAATAGATTTAGAATTTTAATGCAAGAAATGAAGCTTCCAACAAGTAAATGAGATAATATGTACATCAGCGCACGTGAAAGCGCGCGCCCGGTCTATATGCAATTAATAATACAATTCACCTAACGCAAATGGTCGAGTGGGAACTAATCCATTGACTTTTACATGTTTACAGATATTCTAGAACATTCTTTCATCCTGGTCAGACACATCTGAATATGAAAGTTCCAGAATAGGCCTTTCTGGAAATAAAATACCCCTATATAAAGGAGGACTGATGTGACGGGAGATCAGGTGAGGATTGAATCTTAATGGGTTCACATCTCCAGAAGTTGAGGGGAACAGAGTTGATTAAGGTAAGAATAATTGTAATTAACCCTCCGGAACTGGCTCAATGAGCAAAGCGCCGCCTTTTCTCGATTTTTTCTTGTTGCATGCAAAATTATGTATGAAAAAATCAGTAAAAATTACAATGCCTAGTTCAAATCCTCCAGAATGGACTGATAAGATTCCTATCCCTTGAAAACCCCATGAATACCATGAAAAATAATAATTTAGTGAGACTGGTACGGAAAAGCGGCGCCTCGCCGCCCGGAGCCAGTGGACTCGTGTAGTCGGTTTTTAGCCGCGCTGTTGCCACGTCGTTCGTTTCAGTTCAGATATACTAGGAACGTCAACATCTCTATCACGTGCCGTGTTTGACGTCTCATAAAAAAAGCGAATTTTTTTTTAAGAGCATAAATGGTATTCAATTCGAGAAAAATGTGTGCAGTGTAGATTTTTATTCACGTATAGGTCTCCAGTATGGCAACACCGCACTAACCATAACAGGGCGACGCGTTGCTCTCCGAGCCAGTGGACTCGGGTGGGCAACGAACGCGAGTTCAGGACGGTTAATAATACAATTCATCTATTGCAAATGACCGAGTGTGAATTAACCCATTGACTTCTACATGTTTACAGATATTCTAAAACATTCTTTTATCCTGGGAAGACACATCTGAATACGAAAGTTCTTGAATAGAACTTTTTAGAAATGAAATACCTGTATATAAGGGTGGACAGAAGCGACTGGAGATCAGTTGAGAATTGAATCTCAATAAGTTCACATCTCCAGAAATTGATGGGAATGAAGTTGATTGAGGTAAGAATAAGTGCAATTGATAATACAATTTACTCAATACAAAACATTTAGTATGAATTAATCCATTATATTCTACATGTTTATAGACATTCTAGAACATTCTTTTATTCTGGGAAGACACATCTGAACACGAGAGTTTTAAAATACACCTTTCTGGAAATAGGATACCCCTATATAAGGGAGGGTTGAAACTAGTGAGAAGGAAGTGATAGAGGATTTCCATTCATAATGCCGAGGCGCTGCTCCATTCCGAATTGTCCCCAACGACCAAATAAGTCATTCTTCGTTATACCACGTGATAAAAATATAAGAGAACAGTGGATAGCAGCAATTCTTACGGCGTATTCGGACTTGGTAAATAATGAAAAAACATTTCGTCTTTGTGAGGACCATTTCAGGAGCGCAGATATACATTCATCTTGCATTATACAGGATCAATTTACATTATACAGGTAAATTATTTTCATATAAGAGAGATACATCATTTAGGGTATATTCTGTGCTTCCCATACACGGCATATACTAAAAAGTATAACACCTCAGTAAAGTTCATCTTTCTCATAAAGTATATACAGGAGACAGATATAGAAAACACCCTGAATTGTTAGGAATGCCTTAAATATTAGGTGTACAAATAAGTTTTAGGACACTTCGATTCCGTGTCATGAAATTAATTCAAAGTTACCGCTTACATATGATATAGTGGGGTTTGTTATGTAGTATCAAAACATAAGGGAGTCGTAAACATAGGCTATTTATTAGTCACTGCATTCACTATGAATTCCATCAAGGAAAAACTGTTAGGAAAGCCTGTCAATCGATGTGTTCTGTTCTTGGGGACCACATTGTATCTAAAACTATATGTGAGTATTGGTATAAGCGATTTAACGAAGGTGATTTCGACGTCAGTGACCGTGAACGTACCGGGGCCCCTGTAAGGGTGGATGACCAGGAACTGCAAGCGTTGCTAGATGAAAACTCTTCCCAGACGAAAAAACAACTTGCAAAACAGCTTCGAGTAACTCAACAAACCGTTTCCTATCGCTTAAACGCAATGGGAAAGATTCGAAAAGGAACAAAATGGATGCCGCACTTTTTGACTCAAGAAAACAAAGATAGCCGACTTGACATATGTCTGAATCTTTACAATAAGCAACATAGAAAGTCTTTTTTTGTGGAAAATTGCGACCGGCAATGAAAAGTGGATTTATTTTGATAATCCGAAACGCAAATATTATTGGGTTAACCCCGGCGAGCTGACGACATCGACACCGAAGCACAATATTCACTGTTAGAAGATCATGCTGTGTATATGGGGGGATATGAAAGGCGTACTGCATTATGAACTTTTGAAGTCTGCCGAGACAATTCCTGCCGATCGCTATCGTCAACAATTAATAAGATTGAACCAAGAAATTGAACAAAAACGTCTATTTAATGGCTCTTGGATGGGAAGTTGTGCCACACCCGGCGTATTCCCCAGACTTAGCTCCAACTGATTTTCACTTGTTTCGGAAGATGCAAAACGAATTGACTGATGTGCGATTCAAAACATTTGAAGAAGTGCAAAAATCGGTCGATAATTTCCTCGCCTCGCAAGATGAAACTTTCTTTGCGGAAGGAATCCGTGAATTATCCAACAGATGGCTGAAGGTCATTCAAAATGATGGAGATTACTTTGATGAATAAATGTAGTTTACTTTTTTTCGAAAATGAATTTTAAATTTTTTGCAAAGTGCCCTAAAACTTATTTGTGTACCTAATACATAAATTTCCCTGGATTGCATTATTTATTTATATTTAATTATATACAGGAATCGATGAGAAGAAAGCGTTTTGGAAAAGCAGCTGTACCTCATTTCCCATCGAATGGAACAAATAGATCTCCAATTCTCACAGAGATTTCAACAACAATGACGAATAAAAGATTAAATACCAGTTCTATCACGCGAGGGCCCTTCAAAACGGAGTACGAATACCGCAAGGAAACCAAATGAGAACATGGATATCCACATGGATTCACCCAAACCACCTATTCCAGTGGATCTTTCAATTGCAACACAGAATAGTAACCGATATATCCACTGCAATATCTATTTTGATGAAGCATTCAAACAGCATGACTCCGGCATAGCATGTGATGTATGTGAGCGCTTATGGTTTCCTCAAGATTTGAAAACGGTAACACCACAGCAAGCTCAGGTACTCACAATATTTTTCCCGGAAGAAGCGCAACGAGGCGTTCTAAATATGTTCCAACTATGCAGTACTTGTTGTTCAAGTGTGAGTAGAAGAAAGTTACCAACTTTAGCAAAAATTAATGGCTTCCAATATCTTGATCCTATTCACTTGATCCTATCACTGAAAGACTAGTGTCACCTCGACTGCCTTTCATGCAAATCCGTAGACTTCGCCGCGAAGGAGCTTATTCAATTATTGGTCAGATAATAAATGTGCCGGTAAGGAGAATTAGAGGAATAAATATGCCGGTTGATGTTAATACTATGGTAAAAATGCTTCCTCGTCAATTAGATGATGACCAATGTTTTAATGTTAACATTAAACGTAATTTGATTCATAAATCAATTTACTTGCACGGATTTGTTAAGAAATCAGTAATCAAAGCATGACTTAACTATTTAGTCAATACTGCCCTGTATCGTCACTACAACATAAAGATAGGTTTCAATGTTTTGGATAAAATGAACACTACTCATAAAATAACAACATTTAATGAAAATACAGACAGTGTATTACTAATTGAGCCCCTTGAATCAAATAACAATCAACAAACTTCAGAATCAGCGATGCTTTTGGCGCGTCAACACACACTTCTCTGGAATGAAGACATGTGCTTGGATATCGCTCCGGGTGCACGTAGTAGACCAATGCATTTATTATATAAATGGTGATGGTAACTGGTCACGGTGATGTGGCTTCATGTATGAAGCCACATCACTGTGACTTCATACATGATTTCAACAAATGAGATTCGTCGAAGAGATAGACGTGGTGCCACACCATCTCACATACTCTACATGGCTATGAAAATTCTTCGTCAGTGAGATGTTGAAGGATTATATAGCACTTTCAAATGTGTGAAAGAAACAGAATAAATAACACGAGAAATGCTAGAGAGTCAACCACTTCTTGAAGACTGTATTCATAAGAACTTGGTATTTTTCAAATCAGTACCTAATTCAATGCAGTATTGGGCTGATCGCAAGCAAGATTTATTTGCTATGATTCGATGATTGGGGAAGCCAACAATGTTCATGACATTATCGGCAAATGAAATTCGGTGGCCACACCTTCTCCGTATATTGTATAAATTAAGTGACCAATTCCCGGATGTATCCGTTGACGATCCTTTATCTGAGTTATCGTGTTCGCAACGCTGCAATCTGGTGAATGAAGTAACATGTTGCATTTACTTCAACAAATTGGTCAATGTAATCATGTCCATGGTACAGTCACGCCGTCAATGGAACCCATTTGGCCAATATCGCGTTACTGATTACTTTCAACGCATCGAATTCCAACAACGAGGAAGTCCACATGCTCATATTTTGTTATGGCTTGACAATGATCCTCATGAGGCAGTGAGTGAGACTATGCCAGAAACCATCAAACTCATTGAGCAACTATACTCTATTCATCAAACTGATCTCCCTCAGCCTATCTATGGGAATCAAGTCCACCAACATACATTTACATGCACTAAAAGCGGAGAAGCCACGTGCCGCTTCGGTATTCCCTACTGGCTCATGGAAGAAACTCGTATACTCCTCCCAATGTCAAAAGAAGATGGACGACGAGAAATCCTTCGCAATAAAGCAAGTTATTTACGGAAAGCACTAGAAGAAAAACAATATGATAATCTGGAAACATTCCAGCGCGATCATCAACTGCAACCAGATTCTTATCTCAATGTTATTAGATCCACCTTACAACGGCCGACATTACTTTTCAAGCGATCTTTCCGAGAAATCTATACAAATACCTTTCACCCATGGATCAGTAGTGTCCTCAATTCCAATGTGGATTTGCAACTCATATTGGATGAGTACGGTTGCACGACCTACGTAGTGGAGTACATAAATAAATCGAATCGTGGCATCAGCAACCTCCATCGTCACTTATTACAATTGGATCATGAATCTTATGATAATGATTATGGCAATTTACTCAAACGTCTAGGTCTTAAACTACTGAACATGGTTGAGTTGTACAGCACAGCACAGGAAGCAGCTTGGTATTTACTGCGTCAACCAATGAGTCACTGCAGTCGAGATGTAGTCTATATTCCCACCGTGTGGCCACATGAAAGCCAGAAATCTTGTAAACGAAAACCCCAAATGAATGAGGAGAATATTGCACCAAATAGCACTGATATTTGGACTAAGAACATCATCTAACATTATGAGGAACGGCCACCCAAGTATGATCATCTTGACCTCGCCGATTTTGCAGCAAATTATAAATCATGTAAATCTTCAACGATTAATGTTGATGCCAATAAAGATCGTGAAAACACAGCTCCGAAACCAAAAAAGAGCCGACTACAAGATGACATCCTCGACAAAAATGAAGATCATGACAGTGAAGATGGAGAGACCATTGGTGACATTGCTGATCAAGTAATACATCAACCAACTAATGCATATAAACTGCGAAGCAAATCACGCATCATTCGATATCCCAAATATGACATTGCAGATGTGGAAAATTACAAACGGGAGATGGTTTTATTATACGTCCCATTTAGGTCCTTCCTGATAGATATCATAGACCGAAACAAGTTTATACAAATATAGGACACTAATGAAAAACTCATTTTAGATCGACGCCAAAAGTTCGAAGCTAACGTCAATATAACTCAAATAATGGGAACACTCCAACAACTATGTTCTTCAACAGATGAATCTCAAGAGCAGATAAATATGCGCGAGAACTTCATAATGAGTAGATTCAGTAATGAACAAGCTGAAAAAAATTGTATTGGATTGTTGTTGTTGTGATGACATTGATATGATTACTGCTGGTAACTCAATCACAGTCGTTAGATGCCGAACTAATGTTTTATCACAGCAAGAATACTGTCAAATGATGAGATCAACTAATCGAGAACAACGTGAGCTTGTACTCGAAGTTATACATCGATTACACAGTATCA